ATCGATATTAAACGAGTACACGTTGGTTTCAGAATTACCAGCTGGTGTTTAAAGAGTACAGGTTGATGTTTAACGAGTAATATGAGTGTTTATCGATTTTATATGATATTGAACGAATAAGAGTGTATGCTTAACGAAGATAACTATGTGCTTCATGAAAATATGTGGATGTTGAACGATCTCAGCTGTGTTTAACGAGTGTAAGTTGGAGCTTAATGAGTACATGTATGTGTGGGAACTGAAAAGTGCAAATACATGTTTAACGAGGATATGTTAGTGATTAAGGAATACAAGAGGGTATCTAACGGGTGTAAATTTTGCTTAACGAACACACGTGAACGTTTAATAGGCATACTCTATTGTATAATGAAGCCTAGGGGATGTTTAACGAGAACATCCGGGTGGTTAATGGTAATAAATTCTTGTTTAACAAATAAAAGTAGATGTTTAACGTGTATTAACTGGTGTTTAATGATTATTAGCAAGAGTTTAATGACTATAAACTGGAATTTAACGAGTAAATCATATGGTTAATGAGTATAAATCTGTGTTTAACGAGAATAATGTGTTGTTTAACGAGCAGAAGCTACGGGTTAACGATTGCCAGGTTGGTGTTTAAAGATCATATGTTACCGTACAGCGAATACCGGCTAGGACAGTACTGATGTTTAACGATTCTGATACGACCATCAACGACTACCAAACAAGAAGTAACAACAAAGTACCGTTATAGATACGACAATAAACAACCAACAAAAGATGATGAATTAATAACCGAAATAAATCAATATTGTGTAATGACTTTCATAAATAATACAATAAAAAATATATACAACAAAGTCACAATGCTAACCTTGGCCCCCTCACCTCCAGCATTAACATAGTATCCCCTCCTAGTGTCTCAAGCCTCCGTTTTCTTTAAGGGTGGACTGTGTTATGTGCGGTACCTGATACAGAAATGACATGTAAACTTGTGTGAGGACTTTACCTTATCTATCTAAATATTTATCAACTTACTTTTTATATAATCAGTAAAATGCTGCCTTACACTACGTCCCAAAGACCTTTCAAGTGACGCTACAATACGTGACCTTAAGTTATCTTATATCCAATGTTGTTTTCCGAGAGTTTTTTGTTTTGGTTCAACATCTGGCGGCCACATGGATAGATTTAAAGGTTGTATACTGTAGATTCTTCTTGAGTGAGTGTTTGAGATGTGTCTGTTTGTATCTAGTGTGGTTTTGTGGGTGTGTTTAACGAGTAAATGTGGTTATTTAACGAGATTTTGTGTATTTGACTACATTTAAGGAAAAAATAGTGTCTTATGATAAGAGGATTGTTGAACGCGAGAAATTTTTTGTTGGTTTGTTTAATCTGTCTCTTAAGATCACGTGTTAGGTGTTTAACGAAGAGATGGCAGCATAACGTCCCTGATGCAAAATGGAAAAAATTATGTTCAAGGAGTGCAGTGGGGTGGTTTTAAACGGTTTCTAATGAATATAACAATTTCATCTCAGTGATGTTAATGTGGTGTTCAACGATTACAATTTGACCTTAAGAGCATACAATTAAAAGCTTAATGTCCTAAAGGTCAATGTTTAACGAAAATCAGTACTTAACGACTATTTTTAGATTTTTTGATAAAAATAATTGATCCTCAACACACATATCGGGATGTTAGTTCGCTGTTTAAGGCATATAAATCAATGTTTAATGCATAATATAAAATGCTAAAATCGTAAATCGATGTTTATCACATAACTGGATGTAACTCAATGTTTAAAGTATAATACGAGTGTAAATTATTGTGTAACGCACGTGACTATTTTACGCAGTTGATTATACCTAACGACTATTAATTAAAGTTTAACGAATGTAATTTAATTTTATAGACACAACTATATATAACGATTGTAAACTATTGTGTGATACTTTGACGACGCTTAACGATTATAAATTGCTGTTTAACGACATCAATTTGATGTTTAACGAATATAACGTTATGTTTAATGACAATAAATTGTTGTTTAACACCAGTAACCTGGCGTTTGAGGCTTATTGCCCAATGTTTAATGAAAGTACAGTAATGTAAATTACACATAACTATGCTTAACGAAAGTAATTCAGTGTTTAGCGATAACATTTTGTCTGAAGCACTCAGCTGGAAGTGTGTCGACTGCGGATGTGTTCAACGAAAAAAAATGTTTTGACACTTATAAATTGATGCATAATGCATAAATCGGGACGATCAACGAAGAGTAGATGTTCAACGATTTTTTACGTTTAATGCACCGGATTCGATGTTCAATGAGAACTGGATGTTTAACGTATGCAAATATATTTAATTAATAGGATTAAATCTTTAACGACTACAACTTGATGTTTAACGACCACAACTTGATGTTTAACGACTACAACTTGATGTTTAACGACTACAACTTGATGTTTAACGACTACAACTTGATGTTTAACGACTACAACTTGATGTTTAACGACTACAACTTGATGTTTAACGACTACAACTTGATGTTTAACGACCACAACTTGATGTTTAACGACTACAACTTGATGTTTAACAACTACAATTTGATGTTTAACGACTACAACTTGATGTTTAACGACCACAACTTGATGTTTAACGACTACAACTTGATGTTTAACGACTACAACTTGATGTTTGACAATTATATATTTTTTTAACTACAACTTGATGTTTAACGACTACAACTTGATGTTTAACGACTACAACTTGATGTTTAACGACTACAACTTGATGTTTAACGACTACAACTTGATGTTTAACGACTACAACTTGATGTTTAACGACTACAATTTGATGTTTAACGACTACAACTTGATGTTTAACAACTACAACTTGATGTTTAACGACTACAACTTGATGTTTAACGACTACTACTTGATATTTAACGACTACAACTTGATGTTTAACGACTACAACTTGATGTTTAACGACTACAACTTGATGTTTAACGATTACAACTTGATGTTTAACGACTACAACTTGATGTTTAACGACTACAACTTGATATTTAACGACTACAACTTGATGTTTAACGACAACAACTTGATGTTTAACAGCTATATCTTTGTTTAACGACCACAACGTGATGTTTAACGACTACAACTTGATGTTTAACGACCACAACTTGATGTTTAACGACTACAAGTTAATGTTTAACGACTACAACTTGATGTTTAACGACTACAACTTGATGTTTAACGACCACAACTTGATGTTTAACGACTACAAGTTAATGTTTAACGACTACAACTTGATGTTTAACGACAACAACTTGATGTTTAACGACCACAACTTGATGTTTAACGACTACAAGTTAATGTTTAACGACTACAACTTGATGTTTAACGACCACAACTTGATGTTTAACGACTACAAGTTAATGTTTAACGACCACAACGTGATGTTTAACGACTACAACTTGACGTTTAACGACTATCTATTTATGTTTAAATACTACAACTTGATGTTTAACGACTATAAAGTTATGTTTAACGACCACAAAGTGATGTTTAACGACTACAACCATATTCAACGCACTCACTCCGATATTTAGCGGAAGAGGATCAATGTTTTGACTCCGTAGGTTTACAATCAGCGCCGCATATTAATGTTTAACGAATAAAGGCTAGCCATTGTTAGCGGCAGGCGGACGTATGTTTGTCAGGCGAAAGCAGCACATCATCGCAGGGTGGAGAGGAATGCGAGTGTTGGTAACATGAGTACGCCATCACCGGCGACAGGAGACGAGAGTGCTCTTCTGGAATCGCCGTGTCAATGCGGGGCGGAGGGAAAACGCGAGGCGCTGGTGACTGCCCGTACAGGCAATGGTTTATCCGGACACGAGGCAAGTTTCTGGGGGTCGAGACCAGAAAACATGATCTCGTTCCCCAAAACACGCCATCCCACCCCCCTCTGCGGGGTGTTCAAGAGAGGAGAGTTGGACAGGGCAGGGAGGGAGGGAGTTAGGGAGGGAGGAGGGAGGGATTTATATCGGTGAGGCGGTGCCCCTCCGTCCTTCCCTCCCCTCCTCCCTCCTCTCCTCCCAACACAAGATGGCCGGGAGGTGAAAGGGAGGGAGGGTGGGCCGGTTTGTTCGTCAGGTAGGTCTTGGAGGCAGTGGTGCTCTAGGAGGAGGTCCCCACCATGACTAGGTCGAGGGTAGTGTGTTATAGTTTACTGGGTGTATGTGGTGTAAGGGGACGGTGTAGGGGAGGGTGTGAGAGGGGGTAGGAGGGAGGGAGGGAATGAGGGGGGTGCCGGCTAACCAGGTAGTGTCCGGCGGGGCAAATGGCGGGCGTGTGGGAGCCAATAACTGAGGGGCGTGTGTGTATGGCCACGCCCAGGAACCGCGGCGGCCAATCAGTGGTGGTGAGGTGGCATGGTGCCCGGTAAGGGTGCCGGGCGAGGCCTCACACCTGCCAGTCGCCCCCTGGCACTGTGTGAGGGCCCGCCGGGACCTGCAACAGCGGCACCACCATGGCACGCCCGCCCACCCGCACGCCCACACCGCCCACCCGCTAGTGAGTATAGTGCACCACCTGTCTCACCCACTCCTGCTGTGGTCTGCCGGCTGGGTAAAGCAGGTCAACACCTGTGCCGGACCCACCAGCTGCAGAGGCCGGACACGGGGCCGTGGACAGCGTAGCCGGGCCGCCCGCTGCCGCCCACCACCTACGCCGGTTTGGGGCGGTAGTGGGCGGCAAGGCGTTGCTCAACGGCCGCCAGGTGTCTTGATATTAGTTACTGTATTATCTCTTGGTACACGTGTCTACTATTTAATCACACACACACACACACACACACACACATATATGTATTTATATACTTTTTTTTTCTCAGTAGTAAGTTGAGACAAACATGATAGTTGATGTTGTGGGTCGTGTGGCTGTACTGGGAGCCTTGGTGTTTTCAAAACTTATGTTCGTGGGGGTTTCAGTAACCCATTTCTCCTCCCGCAGGTCCCAGGGTCACCGCCGCCTGCGCCGGTATGCGGCGTCCCTGACGGGGCTCCTTCCCCGCACCTCCGCCAGGAAGGAGCTGACTGACACCTGACCTATGCACCAAAGATTCAACCAGTGAGATTATTTTAGTGAATCATAGGAACAGCAGCAGTTTGGCCCCACGTGTGAACCTCAGGAGAGAGTTGAATCAGCAGGAGTAGCAGCAGCAGGAGTAGCAGCAGCAGGAGTAGCAGCAGGAGTAGCAACAGGAAACCAAAACAAAAGAGTGCTGTCGTGGCCGCCATGTGAGTTATCATGGGTCCTATCCGTGCCTTCATCCGCCCTTCACACGGCGCCGCCCCTGGGGAGTTTGTCACCACCGCCAGCCCCTTTAGCCCAACCCACCGGAGCTTCTCTGCTCCACACCGCCCATGTTGCGCCCACGCCACCCCTCCTTCCTCCACTCTCACCCCGCACCACCCTCACCTCCACCCACACCCACATCCCTACTGCCAAACGTGCACGTCGGACCCCCTGCGTGTTGGACTGGTGTCCTCGTCGGTGGCAGTGTCACAGCCTTGTCTCTACCATCCCTTTAGGACACTCCTACCACCAGGAGCGGCGCCGGCGGACCCCCACCCAGGCCTCATCATCTCGCACGGCACGAGGGGTGAGGGGCACAAGGGAGGGGGAGAGGCCCAAAAACAAGGCAGATGGAGGAAAGGCAAAGACCAGAGCGAGTGGAAGGACAGTGATTATGCTTGTAAATGGAAGAAAGATAAAGATGAGTTTAAGAAATACAGTGGTGAGGGAAAGTGTAAGAAAAGTGATCACGATAACAAGTGGAGCAAGTACAGCGAGGAATACAAGTGGAGGAGGGAGAGAGGCGATAACACGTGTAAGAAAGAGAAGGATGGATATAAATGGAAAAAGAGTAAGGATGAATACAAATGGAAGAATAACAGAGAGGAGTTTCAGTGGAAAGCAGTAAGAGGGGATGATCGTGAGCAGGAGAGGTGGAAGAAGGATAAAGACGAGTGTAAGTGGAAGAAAGATAAGGCATCACCCCTGCCATACCTCTCGTCCTTAGCCAAGTCTGATGAGCCCTCCTCATCACGCACGGTCTTAGCTTTCCCATTCTCAGACGAGGAGGAAGACGATGAATATGCGGACGAAGGTAGGACCACAGGCGAGAATAGACACGAGACGTGGCCCATCTCTGACATCGTCGAAACTGAGGACGAGGAAGGAGAGCAACAACCTGAAGGAGTAACACAGCAAGACCACCCTGAGAGGAAAGAAAGGGAGGAAAGTGACAGAGAGGAAGAGGTTGTTCAGGGGAGTAACGAGACCAGCGTTGTAAAGAAGTCCCTCAAAGAGCCCAGTCCTGCAGTAGAGAGTCAATTCAATGTTGTGAGCGAGGAACAGGAATCACCCAACACCACCACAGTACCTGAAGGAGAATCGTCGAGTCTCAAGGCCAAGCGCACCTCAGAACATGACGGTGAGGAGGTCGACTTACACCCCAACAACGTTAAGAACAAATGGCAGGAAGAAGAAACTCATTCTCCTCCTTCAGCTGAGCATCGACGGGAGGAATCAGAAGGAGAGGGAGATGTAGTGGGAGAGGAAGAAGAGGAAGAGAAAGCGGGGGAAGAAGTGAGGAAAGAGAAGAAGGGAGAGAGCAGCGAGCTTCCACGTGACGGCATCAGAGCGACACAGCGCCTCCGCCCACGTAGCTACAGGTGAGTGAGTCCGGCCACATGACTGCCATTACTCTGTTTTACATATTTAGTCCTGACGTGTGGGTTGAGAAGGTGAAATATTTCAGTGTGCACAAAGTCACTCCCACATGGTCCTGTAATAGCGAGGAGAGACACAATGATTACTAAAGATAATAACATCTCTTGATAATACATGTAAAGCCTCTGAGACCACAGAAAACGCGTGCCTGGGGAAGGTGGGAGCAAGTCAGTGCTTGCTGGGTTTCGAAACCTGGTTTTTAAATTAAAAACCCTCCACTTACATAAAAATGCAGACATTAACTTTGAAAAAAAAAAGATGCAACAAATTAATACACAAGTTATGTTTTTGATTAATTTATTTGCCACAATAAATGGAAACAGTTGAGGAGCGGCTGTGGTGGCGCCCCGGCAGAGCTAGGTACCTACGTCGTCTCGAATGGAATTAGAATGTGTGTTTGGTCGTGTGTGAGTCGACCGGGGCCAGCAGGATCGAGTTCTCCACCGTTGCTGGCGTCCGGCGCTGGTTGTTGTCTGTGATACTCTGATGAATAGCATACTTGTTGTATAGTCCCTCTACACACACACACACACACACACACACACTATATATACTGGAGAATTTTTGTATATTTTTCTCTTTTTCACACATTTGATTGCCAGAAAATAAGATAAATAAGATATAAGAGAGAAAATAAAGCAGCTGAGAGAGAGAGAGAGAGAGAGAGAGAGAGAGAGAGAGAGAGATTAACATGCACACAAACTAAACAGCAAAAATCTCGTTTTCTGTTACTCTCCCCACCACCCACGACAGAACATGAGATGACATATAGCATTACACCCCTGTCTGTCTGTTGGTCTGTCTGTCTGTTGGTCATGTCCATTCAATAACTCGAGAATGGCATCACTGCTCGACTGGCAACTTGGTACGCTGCTTCGTACTATCATTACTAATCACAGGTTCGATACCCAGCGAGCTTTGCCATTATATACCATCGTTTATGCTCCTCGAATTACCAGACAGTAAGATATGGCGGTGAGACAGACACACAGACAGCAATAGAGTTGTGTTGGTAAAAAATGTGAAGAAAAAAATTGTAAAAAACAAAACTGTTACTTAAAGGAAGAATTAATGTAATGATTTCAATTATTCATTTTTTTTAATCAGAGTGTAATGAATAACTCGACTGATATGTGTACTGTAATTAATGAATGAAATTGTACTAGATGAATGAAGTTATGTTACATTGATGAATGAAGAAACTTGTACTACATTATTTTGGTGAATGAAAGAACTTGTACTACACTTGATGAATGAACAGTGAGTGAATAACAGAGGTGCTCTCTCTCTCTCTCTCTCTCTCTAAGCAGCACCTCAACACACGCCCTTACAAATAATACTCTAAGACCCAGTGATGACCTTCCGCAAGAGTGAAGCAGTGAATCAAGCGAACCAGATAGTGAACCAGGACATGAAACATAAGGAGTAGCGTCGTGGGGCGGTGGAGTGGTCGGGGTGGTGGAGTGGTTGGTGGAGTGGTTGGTGGAGTGGTTGGGGTGGTGGAGTGGTCGGGGTGGTGGAGTGGTTGGTGGAGTGGTTGGGGTGGTGGGTGGTGAGTGGTCAGGGTGGTGGAGTGGTCAGGGGTGGTGGAGTGGTTGGTGGAGTGGTTGGGGTGGTGGAATGGTCGCCATTTCGTATTATATGTAAAGTAACTAAGACTATTACGGGTACATGTGTATATGTCTGGTTTGTGTGCTATATATATATGTGTGTGTGTGTGTGTGTGTGTGTGTGTGTGTGTGTGTGTGTGTGTGTGTGTGTGTGTGTGGGTGTGTGTGTGTGTGTGTGGGTGTGTGTGTGTGTGTGTGTGCGTGTTTATGTGTATGTTTTTGTGTAAATAATACGTTTATAGTGTGTCATGGATCTAAAAATCATTGTTATGCTAACTTTGAACTCCTGGACACACACACACACACATTACATTAACATAAGTTCTCTTTCTCATCTCACCCTCTCCCTCCTTCTTCCCCTCCTACAGGCAGTTCCCATAGACAAGGTATAGACGGGTATACGCGGGTGTTCCTGAAGGCTGTCAGCTATACCACCATCTCTCTTTCCTCCTAGTATGATCTCCTCCCTTCTCACCCTCTCTTTCTCCCCCTACAGACAGTTCCTGCTGACGAGGGAGAGACGTAGTCGGGTGTTCCTCAAGGCACGGAGTTACCACCTAGGGCGTTGGTTCATCACCCACTTCACCCACCCTTACCCCTGCAAGGACCAGAAAGACCAGCTGGCAACCCGCACCAACATGACCAGGAATCAGGTACGGTAGCGCAGTGGTTTTGATACCAGACTGGCACATCCCTGGCCCAGGGTTCGAATTGAGGAATACAAAAATGTAATATGATATCCAGTGTGAGGTAATAACCTAACGTGACCTAACCTAACCTAACCCACGTGACTGACACTCTGAGTTGACTCTCATCCTGTGTGTCTGTGATATAGGTGTCTTCTGTTGAACGCCTTGAGTACGATTACTTAACCTCATTGAGTACTATGTTTCAAACACGTGAGTACAATGTATTATCCATTTCAGCAAGATAATATTGTACTCAGGGGTTAAATAATTGTACTCAACGGTGTTAAGTTATCTTTCTCAAGGGGGCAGGTCATCGTACTCAAAGAAAAGGGTACTAACTAGGGAAGAATGACCAGGGACAGTATAGAGAGGTGACCAGGAATTAGGATGAGTGCCATATGTCAGGCCACTACAGGCACAGTGCCAATTACTATAGCATTAACAAGTCCTGGTGTGTGTGTGTGTGTGTGTGTGTGTAGGTTGTTTTGTGTTTGTGTGAGTGTGTGTGTGTATGTAGGTTGTTTTGTGTTTGTGTATGTGTGTGTATGTAGATTGTGTGTGCGTGTGCGTGTGTGTGTGTGTGTGTGTATGTATTAATAGAGAGAGTTAGAAAAGATAATCCTTGTAGTTGAGAAAAAGAGCGATAAAGAGAGAGTGAATCTGTGTAAGTATGTGTACGTGTGTGTGTGTACGTTCCATGTAAGTATTTAAACGTGTGTCGTCTATAAATACACTCGTGTCTTTGTCTGTGTGTGCGTAAGTCCCACTATGGTGGCTGTGTGTGTGTGTGTGTGTGTGTGTGTGTGTGTGTGTGTGTGTGTGTGTGTGTGTGTGTGTGTGTGTGAGGGAGGGTGTGGGTAGTAGAGTGAGGGTGTGGAGTAGTAGAGGGTGTGGGTAGTAGAGGGGTGTGGAGTAGTAGAGGGTGTGGGAGGGTGTGGGTAGTAGTAGAGAGTGTGGGTAGTAGAGGGTGTGGGTAGTAGAGGGTGTGGGTAGTAGAGAGTGTGGGTAGTAGAGAGTGTGGGTAGTAGAGGGTGTGGGTAAATATGGATGATTAATATCTGAGTCACTAATGAGTCAAAAATATAAATGACAAAGAGATGAGTAAGAGAACAGTGAATCATCATCACGGGTAAATAAACAGTGAATAAAATGAGTAACAAGAGAGAGAGAGAGAGAGAGAGAGAGAGAGAGAGAGAGAGAGAGAGAGCACTTGGATAATGAATACATAAACCATAGCCTTACCATCACCATCGACTTACTTAACAAATATTTTAAGTGTACAGTACATACAATTGTCTATTATAAGTAACGTAAGAGACAGAGAAAGTTAGATCACTGTGTACAAAGAAGGAAAGTACTGTAATAAATATATAATGTGAATGATGTACTTATTTATAAATATCAGAAAACGTAGTACAAATCTGTATGTGTGTATGCGTAAGTCTAACCTAACCTAACCTAACCTAACCTAACCTAACCTAACCTAACCTAACCTAACCAATTCAGAAACACCTACTTACTCTAATCTAAACCAATTTAACCTTACATGGAGGGAGGGAGGGTAGGAGGACAGGAGACAGGGAGGGAGGGTAGGAGGACAGGAGACAGGGAGGGAGGGTAGGAGGACAGGAGACAGGGAGGGAGGGTAGGAGATGCAGGGGGTGTGAGGGAGGGTTAGTTGTGGTATTTCCTCTGTTTCAATTTTTTTTTTCATCTCTGGTTGTGAAAAACACCTCCAAGTATTTCCTGACGCTACTACTCTCCCTCTCTCCTACCTACCTCCCTCCCCTCTTCCTCCCTCCCTTCTGTATTCCTACCCTTCCTCCCCTCCTCCCTCGTCCTTGCGGCCACTGTTGCCAGGATTGACGTAATGTTATGGAACAGATGCGTAGCGCCGAGACGGGTTCGAACCGGAGCGAAACGAGTCGAAACGAGAGGCTGTCTGTCAAAACGAAACGAAGTGGGATGAAACGATTTCGAGCTGGATCGAAACGGGTAGAAATAAAAGGGAACCTGTCAAAACGGGAAGGCAGGGATGAAACGGGTTCGAACCGGAGAGAAACTGTATGGCATGAAAAGGAACCTGTCAAAAGAAAACAAACTGGGTTCACACGGGTTCGAATTGGACCGAAACTACTCACGGTGGTAAGAAATAAAATTAAATAGATCGTATTGAACCGAAATGGCTGAAAGAAGTTCGAAATGGATTGAAGGCTAGTCTAGGTTAGGGAAGGATAGATCAGTAGGCTACGTCAGGTTAGGTTAGGCTACGTCAATCAAGGTGGTGATTCACGTGAGTACTGATGCGTGTTTCTGCTCCCTGTTCCAAGTACAGACCAACTTAGTAACCTTCACTCTGTGTCCTTCTTCAATATCTCTTTCTCTCATCTCCCAGTTTCCCCTTTACCTCATCAATTACTCGTATATCTCCCTCCTTATATTCCCTCTCCTTCCTCCCTCTGTCTCTCCTCTTCTACCCACTCCCACACACCCTCTACCCCCCTTCATGTTTACTCCTTCCCTTTCTCACCCTTCCCTCCTTCCCCTTCCTTCCTAACTCTCTTACCTCTCCTCCTTCCTTTCTTCCCTGCCCCCTCCCATCTCTCACCTCTCTCCTTACCTATCCCTCCTTCCACCTTCTCCTCCGATCCTACCCCCTCCCTCTTTTTTATTTCCCCCACCCCCCTCTCACACTCCTGCCCCCTCCTTCTCTCACATCTTCCCCTCCCTCCTCTCTCACATCTTCCCCTCCTCTTTCACATCTCCCCTTCCTCTTCTCTTCTCCCTCTTCCCTCCTTCCCCTCCCTTCCCTCGATGTTCCTCCCTCAGGCCGGGTGTGTGAGTGTGTCTAGGGAGGACACATCGTACGCGCGCCCCATTGAGGGAGGGCAGCGGGCCTGGCGGAGGGCCAAGCCAGGGAACCACACACAAATACTCCTCAGCGGGGAGAGGGGATGCGGGAGGGGTTGAGGGAGAGGGGATGTGTGAAGTGGTTGAGCGGGTGTGGGAGGGTTGAGGAAGAGAGGGATGGGAGTGTGATCTGGAGGGTTGGAGGCAGGTGGGAGGGGCTAGAGGAGGAGGTACGGGAAGGGGTTTCTGGGCTGATTGGGGTTTCCAGGTTGAGGGGAGGTGGAGAGGGGTAGGTTAGGGTATTGTGGGAGGATGTGGAGGTGTTCTGATGGCGTGGGAGAGATTTTTGGAGGGGTGGGGGTTGGGCGAGGGTGGGAGACGAAGAGAGAGGGGGTGGAGATGGGAGGGAATGAATGGGGGGTGTATTGGGAGGGGAAATTAGGGGAGGAGAGATGTATGAGTAAAGGGATGGGGAGGGGAGGGGTGGAGGAGAGAGAAGAAAGGACAGGGGAAGGAGAGAGGGGGTGGAGGAGGAGGGAGGAGGAGGAGGAGGAGGAGGGAGGAGGAGAGGAGGAGGAGGAGGAGGAGGAGGAGGAGAGAGGTTCAAAGTAGAGGAGGCAATTAGAGGAAGAAATAGGGAGGGGGGATTAAGGAGGACGGTTAGGTGGAAGGGAAAAAGGGGTGAGGAGAAGTGTCAGGTGAGGGAGAAGGTTGTGGGGTGAGGAGAGAAGTATCAGGTGAGGGAGAAGTGTCAGGTGAGGAGAAGTGTCAGGTGAGGGGAGAAGTGTCAGGTGAGGGGAGAAGTGTCAGGTGAGGGGAGAAGTGTCAGGTGAGGGGAGAAGTGTCAGGTAAGAGGAGAAGTGTCAGGTGAGGGGAGAAGTATCAGGTGAGGGGTAACGTAGTTAATCCTTTTATTGTTATGAAGCTTTATGGCAATTAATTACACCTGTATGTAATTAAGCACACCTGTAGACACCAACCTGTGAGTAATTAATCAACATGTAGGTAACTAAACATATTTGAAGGTACAATAATTATATCAACTTTAAGGTAATTAAATATCCCAGTAAATTAAATATGCCGGTAGGTAATTAAATATTCACATAATTATATAACTAATTATACCTACAGATAAATACTTGTTTGTAAGTTATATAACCCGGAACACACACACACTGTCTCTCTCTCTCTCTCTCTCTCTTTATGTCTTTCTCCTAATCTCTCTCTCTTTCTCTTTATGCCTTTTCTCTCAATCTCTCTCTCTCTCTCTCTCTCTCACACACACACACACACATCTTACTACTGCTTCACTCAGGAATCCTACTACTTAGTGTTACTGCAACGAGAAGCAATAAACCAAGTCATAGGAGGTAAGAGGAGGAGGGGGGGGGGGAGGAGGAGTCGACAGAACCGGGGAGGTGGGAGGAGCCATGGGGGGTTGAGGAGTCGGCAGAGGGGGTGACGAGTCGGCAGAGGGGATGTGGAGTCGGCAGAGGGGATGTGGAGTCGGCAGAGGGGATGTGGAGTCGGCAGAGGGGGTCAGAGGTAGGTGGGGGTCGGGGTGTTGTAACAAGAGAGGGAAAAAATGTTTGGTTATGTAACTTGTATGAGAGAGTATTGTGAGTCAGCCGTTTTATTATGGGAGGGTTGATATCGTACTCAAAGGGTTAAATTATAATATTGTACTGGAGGGGCTATGTTATCGTACTCAAGGGGTTATCGTATTCAAGAGGTTAAGTTATCGTTTTTAAGGGGTTAAGTTATCGTTTTTAATGGGTTAAGTTATCTTTTTTAAGGGTTAAGGTATCGTTTTTAAGGGTTAAGTTATCATATTCAAGAGGTTAAATTACCGTATTTAAGGGGTTAAGTTATCGTACTCAAGGGGTTATCATAATGAAGGAGTTAAGTTATCGTATTTAAGGGGTTAAGTTATCGTATTCAAGAGGTTAAATTATCGTATTCAAGAGGTTAAGTTATCGTATTCAAGGTTTTAAGTAATCGGACGCAAGAGGTTAAATTATCGGGTTCAAGGGGTTAAGGTGTGAGCGGTTTCACAAGATCCTCAAGCGAGCATGGAAGGGCCGGGAAGGGGTAGACAATATTTATATCAGTCA